TTAATAAAAAGAATTACACCAATAAGCTTAATCAACATCACTGCTGAATCACCATTTTAAAATTCTAGTGATTTGAAAATTATGAGGAAAAAATAAAAGAAAAAGAATGAAAATGATAGGATTAAAAGCACGTGACGATATACATAAATTCCTTGGTTCTTGCTGGTCCCTGGGTTCTTTATAGCCAAAATCCAGCTTTTGTAATCATATATTTATTCCACACATTTATTTGACAAAACAACCAACCCTTTTCTTCATTAGGTCACAATAATTACGATTTTTTCCACCTTTGATACTTACTCCGCATAAAAATAAATCAATTATTGGGATCTAATCTTACAGCTTCCTTCTTTATTATTTTGCTAGATTTGCTCCAGATTTGAGAGTTCAAATAGGATTAAAGAAAGGCACATCTTTTTATTAAGTTATAGTACTTACCCATTTACGATAGTATTTATTTTAAAAATGCTTCGTCTTTTGATAATGAATACTTATATATCAGGTAATTTCTGGTGTTTAAACTTGATATCTTCTAGAATAATAACAATTTCTTCGACCATTAATGTAATTTGATTCGTGCATAATGTTACATTTTTTAAAATTGAATAGACATTCTTATTGAGTAGAATTATCAACAAAAAGTAAAAGACATTGTTACCCTCAATTTTTTTTAAATCTGTTTAGCATATTGATGTATGAATAGTGGTAATAGTTTTACTAATGATATTATCAACTAGAGTCATTATAAATATTCTTCAGTTACGATAAGGCAAACTTGTTCCCATGAAAAAATATAGAAATATATATATATATATATATATATATATATATATATATATAAGCTTATTGAGTTTGAAGTTAAATTATGTTTTTTTAGTAATTTTTTTTAATATGCATATATCTTATCGATATAGTGTAACTCTTTGAATCCATGAAATCACTAAGATTATTGAATAGATTCGGTTGAATTGTGTTAAATTTGATATTATATTTAAAACTATAATTGGTTAGAAGATATAAGTAGATTTTTTTTAATTATTTCTTAATTGAATTGAAAAAACATATAAATAAAAATACAAAATATTGATCACATAAAAAAAAGAGTAGGTGAAGGTAAATTGATTGAGATACTAGAAAAGAAAATAAAAACTTGACTTTCGTTTACCAAATATTGTTACCTTATAGATGTGGTAAAACAAATGTAATGGAGAAGTTTAAGGTGCATGATGAAGAAGTAAAAGCCATTTCCAATATTTCCAAGTTCCCAGCTTTATGTATACACTAACTAACAACAACCCTTTCTCAATCCAAAACTGACGACAAAATCTCCATTAATTCTTCTTCTTGTCTCTCCAGAAGTTCTCTCTTTGGTATAACAATGGAGGATGATTCCAACCATTTGGTAAAACCAGAAACTCCCACCACCGCCATGGAAGCTGAAGTTGTAGTTCACGAAGAAGAAAGAGAACCCGAAAGCAATTCACTGAATCAGCCACTTTTGAAGAGAAACAGAACCCTTTCTACCAGTCCTTTAGCCTTGGTTGGAGCCACTGTTTCCCATATAGAAAGCTTGGATTATGAGTAATGATTTTTCAAAAAAAAAAAAATTATTTTCATTTTTCATGTTGAGTTTTGATTGAGTTGTTTGATCTTTTGATTTGGTTGATGATGCAGGATAAATGAGAATGATCTTTTCAAGCATGATTGGAGAAGCAGATCCAGAGTAGAAGTTCTTCAATACATATTCTTGAAATGGTTACTGGCTTTCCTTGTTGGATTGTTAACCGGATTGATTGCCACTGTCATCAATCTCGCTATTGAGAACATTGCTGGCTACAAGCTTCTTGCCATTGTCGGTTTCATCCAGGAGGAAAGGTAAAAGCTTTCTTATTCTAATTCCTTTGCTTTAGGACGAAGATATAATAAGTTCAAAAACAAAGCTTTTGGCTTATGTTGAAGACAATCTGAATTGGATTTTGATACTGAGTAGTTGAATTGTTTGCAGGTACTTATCTGGGCTAGCTTTTTTCACCGGAGTCAATTTTTTATTGACCTTGAGTGCTGCAGTTTTGTGTGTGTTCTTCGCCCCGACTGCAGCCGGTCCCGGAATTCCGGAAATCAAGGCTTATCTCAATGGAGTCAACACTCCAAACATGTTTGGTGCTACAACATTGCTTGTCAAGGTTGGTTAGCTTTTCAATTTATGTGCCTGGTCAAAGCTTGATCCAACTCTGTTTTTCTCTATGTCCAATATCGGTATCGAACACATATTCGGAGATGGTTGCATGGCTATTCTCTGAATTCGAGTGCCATAGGTTTGGTCCATTGGATTCGGAATTCGTTCGATGATCCAGTTTGATATTTGAAGACATGTTTGAGAGTTCTCTCCGGTTGCAGTGTTCTTGCTCGTGTTGATTTGTCCAAAGAGTTCCTTATTTTAAAACTGGATCCAGTTGACAATTAAGACAAAACATAGACAAACAAGCTGTTACATAATGCATGAGACAGTTTTCACTTTGTTTTGTTTATTATAAATTGCAATGCTGATGAATTTTCAATAAATTGTAGATTGTTGGCAGCATTGGAGCAGTTTCTGCTGGCCTAGATCTTGGGAAAGAAGGGCCTTTAGTGCACATTGCAAGTTGCATCGCTTCTTTACTAGCACAGGGCGGGCCCGACAACTACCGTCTTAAGTGGCGTTGGCTTCGTTACTTCAACAATGATCGCGACCGCAGGGACATTATCACCTGTGGTTCTTCGTCGGGTGTTTGTGCAGCTTTCCGTGCTCCAGTGGGAGGCGTTCTATTCGCTCTCGAAGAGGTTGCAACATGGTGGAGGAGTGCCCTTCTGTGGAGAACTTTCTGTAGTACAGCGGTCGTGGTGGTGGTGCTTAGGGCATTCATTGAAATCTGCAATTCCGGTAAATGCGGCCTTTTCGGAACGGGAGGGTTGATCATATTTGATGTTAGTGATGTTAAAGTGAGCTACCATGCCATGGATTTAATCCCTGTGATAATCATTGGAATTATTGGAGGACTTTTGGGAAGCTTATACAATCATGTTCTCCATAAGGTCCTTAGGCTCTATAATCTCATTAACCAGTAAGTTCATGAGCAAATCCGAAACCGATAATCCGATCTTAGTTCTTAGTAAGCGATGACATATTTTGTTCGTTCTGTTGCAGGAAAGGGAAACTGCATAAATTACTTCTAGCTCTCGGCGTCTCTCTGTTTACCTCAGTTTGTCAATATTGTCTCCCATTTCTAGCCCAATGCAGACCTTGTGACCCCTCTTTTCCAGAGACGTGTCCTACGAATGATCGGGCCGGGAACTTCAAGCAGTTCAACTGTCCAGCTGGTCACTACAATGATCTAGCAACCCTCCTCCTTACTACGAATGACGATGCTGTTCGAAACATTTTCTCTAGCAACACCTCTTCAGAATTCCACCATACCTCAATATTGATCTTTTTTGTACTCTATTGCATCCTGGGACTCATTACTTTTGGCATTGCAGTTCCTTCTGGTCTCTTCCTCCCTATCATACTCATGGGCTCGGGTTACGGCCGACTTCTCGGTATGCTCATGGGATCGCATACAAACTTAGATCAAGGCCTTTATGCTGTTCTGGGTGCAGCCTCTTTAATGTCGGGCTCGATGAGAATGACGGTTTCGCTTTGTGTGATCTTCCTCGAACTCACAAACAACCTTCTTTTGCTACCAATAACAATGATAGTCCTTCTCATTGCGAAAACCGTCGGCGACAGTTTCAACCCGAGCATCTACGAGATTATACTTGAACTCAAAGGCCTTCCTTTCCTGGATGCAAATCCTGAACCCTGGATGCAAAATCTCACCGTAGGTGAACTCGTGATGCCAAGCCACCAGTGATCACTCTTTGTGGGATCGAAAAGGTGTCCCGTATCGTTGATGTATTGAAAAATACTTCGCATAACGCATTCCCCATTGTTGATGAGGATGTACCGGTTCCAGGCACTGTGTCCACTGGTGCAACAGAACTGCATGGACTGATCCTCAGAGCTCATCTGGTACAAGCCCTGAAGAAGAAATGGTTCCTAACTGAGAAACGGCGAACTGAGGAATGGGAAGTGAGGGAGAAATTCAACTGGGTCGAGTTATCCGAACGGGAACTGAAAATCGAGCAGGTGGCCGTGACTCGTCGAGAAATGGAAATGTATGTCGATTTACATCCCCTCACCAATACAACACCTTACACGGTTGTAGAAAGCATGTCAGTGGCTAAAGCCATGGTTCTATTCCGACAAGTCGGACTCCGGCATATGCTCATCGTGCCGAAATATCAAGGCGCAGGGGTAAGTTTACGTTTTAACAACCTTATGGAGTCTGCTTATAACGCCATTTTTGTAACGAGTTGCATGGTTCATTTGCAGGTGCCTGCCGTAGTGGGGATCCTGACAAGGCAGGACTTCAGGGCATACAACATTTTGACCGCCTTTCCTCATCTGGCAAGTCACAAAGAGCAAGGGAAACATAATTAATTAATTAATGTCTCATTATTAAAGGGTAATTTGATCGAAGTCTGAACCACACATGTTCATTTGTTTTTGATCATTTTCTTCTCAGGTTTGGAGTCTACTTTTTATAGCAGAGAAGCAACGACCGTGTATTCTTTTTACATTAAATTGCAGTCAGATAATAAGTAAATTTCCATTGATTGAAGATCCCAGGAATATATTATATAGAATTTGCTTATGTTTACATCTTGCCATTCAATTTCAAAAAAAAATCGAAATGATTTAACAAGGATTAAATTGCCACTAATTTTTATTATTAAATAATTTTGAAATAATATGAACACATATTTTCTTATGATAGAAACTGAGTGGAGATCTGAAAACTAAAGTTCCCATCAATTTGACAGCTTCAAAGAACAATTATAAGCAGGAATTGTCTAAATCAACTGCATATGATTGGCACTCATACTAACAACAGTAGGCACGAGGAATGGATCAAGAAACAAGCTTACCTGTAGCAAGAACTGGGTCAAGAAGAAGAACATGCCCTCTGAAATATCCTTGGGAAGCTTCTCGTATATAAGCTAAGCAAATTCAAGAAAGCAGATTAATGGTTGAGAACTAATCATATGTAATACTTAACAGCTTAAAGATTGCAAAGATTTTACTAACCTGTTTGCCACCATCTCCCTCACGGTGAATCAAAATTTTTCCAATTTTTATTCCTTTGCAACATGCGCGTAATGAGTTTTCCATGCTTTCACCACTGTCACAGAAATAAAGAATAAAAACATAAAAATGGTGTGAAGGTACACAAGTAAATCAAAATTTTCGACATCAAAGCATGTAACAAACATCCAGTTAAAGACAATAGTAGGAAAACCTGAAATAAGATTCATAATAACTTTATCATGTGCAACAGAAGATAGCCCGATACCCCATTTTGATTAAACAAGGTCTGCTGTCAAATAATAAAACTGACCAAACCAATACCTGATTGAAAGCTCACCTTCTAACAATGGAAACGCCACACAACTTTTTGCAAAAACCAACCCCAGTATAAACCGTTGCTGAGAAGAAATAGCAGCAAGTTTCAAAGGTAAGCGGAATCTAAATTGTTTCCATGATAAGACATCTTAAGATTAACAGAATTCCATCGTTCTTGTTGGACATCTCCCAGTTGTACGTTCTCAGAAATACCGCTTGTTATGTTGTAAATCGAGTAATGATTAGGCCAATCTTAAAGAAAACTTCATATGAAATTTTCAAAAATAAAAAGCCTAACATTAGCTATTTTCATCCTTTTGGATGTAAATGTTTTGTTTTAAACAACGGTAAAGACAATCTTGGCAAATTTGATGCTAAAAGTGATGAAGAATTTTTCTGGGTTATTCTTAAATTCTAAAGCTTATCGAGTATTTAATAAAAGAACTTTAGTTGTAGAAGAGTCTATACATGTTGGTTTCGATGATAATCCCCTTCCGAGAAGGATTCTTGTTTGAATGATGATGTAGGTATTATAAATATAAATAACGTTGAACATGACATTGGAGAATCATCATCAAAGGAAGAAACGAAAGATGAGGAAACTCAAGATCCTCTCGAGAATCCAACCATTGAATAAAGGGAAGTATCTTACCAAGGATTGTGAGATTATAGGTGATCATCCAAAGGGGTAACAACTCGATCTTCTCTTAGAAATATTTGTAATTATGTTGCATTTATCTCATGCATAGAGCCTAAGAATATTAAAGAAGCATCAAATGATGAACATTGAATTATGGCTATGCAAGAAGAGTTAAATCAATTTGAGAGAAGTAAAGTATGGACATTAGTTGAAAGGCCTAGTAATAAATCTACTGTAGGTACTAGATGGGTGTTTAGGAATAAACTTGATGAAAGTGGTAATATAGTGAGAAACAAGGCTAGACTTATTGTTCAAGGGTATACTCAAGAAGAGGGCATAGACTATGACGAAACATACGCTCCCGTAGCTAGGATGGAAGCAATTAGAATGTTATTAGCATTTACATGTTTTCATGAATTTAAATTATATTAAATGGATGTTAAAAGTGCATTTTTAAATGGTTTTATAAAGGAAAAGTGTATGTGGAACAACCTCTTGGTTTTGAAGATTTAAAATTTCCAAATCATGTTCTTAAGTTGACAAAAGCACTTTATGGTTTTAAACAAGCTCTTAGAGCTTGGTATGAAAGATTGTTAAACTTTTTAATTGAGAAAGGTTTTTCCAAAGGAAAGGTTGACACTACATTGTTTTTAAAACATAAAGGTAAAGATTTATTAGTAGTTGAAATTTATGTTGATGATATAATATTTGGTTCTACTAATGATGTTCTTTGTCAAGAATTTTCTAAGCTAATGCAAAGTGAATTCGAGATGAGCATGATGGGGGAGCTCTCATTTTTCTTGTGACTCCAAATCAAGCAAAGAAAAGATGACATCTTCTTCAATCAAGCTAAGTACGTCAAAGATATGCTCAAGAAGTTTGGACTGAAAATGGGAAGCCACATAACACTCCAATGAGCTCATCGACAAAGCTTGACATAGACGAAGAAGGTAAATGTGTGGATGTTAAATTATATAGGTCAATGATTGGTTCTTTGCTTTATCTAACTGCAAGTAGACGGATATTATGTTTAGTGTTTGCTTATGTGCTAGATTTCAATCATGCCCTAAGGAATCACATTTACTATATGTTAAGAGGATCTTTAGATACCTTAAGGACACTCCGAGTTTAGGAATTTGGTATCCTAGAGACTCTAGCTTTAGCTTGCATGCATTCTCTGATGCGGATTATGGAGGATGAAAATTAGATAGGAAAAGCACATCTGGTACTTGCCAATTCCTTGGAAATATGTTGATTTCTTGGTTTTCAAAGAAACAAAATTGTGTTGCATTATCTACCACTGAAGCGGAATACATTTCAGCCGGTAGTTGTTGTGCACAAGTTTTATGGATGAAACACCAACTTTTTTATTATGGAATTAAAGTAGGTACCATTCCATTAAGTGTGACAATACTAGTGCTATTTGTCTCACCAAAAATCCCATCCAACACTCTAGAACTAAGCATATTGAAATTTGACATCACTTCATTAGAGACCATGTCGCTATGGAAGATGTAGTTCTAGAATTTGTTGATACTTTGCATCAATTAGAGGATATCTTTACAAAACCTTTAGACAAGGAAAGATTTTGGACACTTAGGGAGAATTAGTTTTACTGACCTATCTTCACTTAGTGTTTAAAATAATTTTAGCACTTTTAAGAATAAATGAAAAATGCTTATAATAATAATTTTTGATTGCATTCTTTGCTATTAGTTAGAGGGTGTTTATGTTCTTTGGTTGTTGAAAACATTTTTGATATTTCGATATAACAAATTAAGTTAAATGAATTTTAAGATTTCAAATGTTTTACAAATTCGATTCAATTAACCGAATATCAAATTATTACTCCAAGTTTTTCAACATCAATTTTAATCCTTACTAAATGTGTAAAATTGTGATTTGTACTTAAACTATTTTTGAAAAAAAATTCACAAAGTATTTTGAACCAAAAACAAGCCTTAAATCAATTATTCAAAGGCATGCACCGATGCATCAGTACATGCATCGATGCATCGATGAATTAATTGAACATCGAATGCATTCCATGCACCGATGCACTCTCCATGCATCGATGCACTCTGAATATTTTCAAAACATCGAATGCATTTGATGCATCGATGCACAAGCCATGCATCGATGCATCAGGCTATTTTTCAAACATCGAATGCATTTCATGCATCGATGCACACTTGGTGCACCGATGCATCAAGTGTTCCAACGGTCAAAATATTTGAATTTTACACGAATGCACCGATGCATACTTGATCATGCATCGATGCATGAGACGCTCCACCTAGAAAAATTAATTGTTTTCACACTTAAACGGCTCTATTATCCCCACTAATTATCACCAACGTTCAGAATTGATTCAAGGGGTATTTAAACAAGTTCTGGAGCCATTGATCAATAACAAGAAACATCAATCAACTAGAATCAAGAGAGAGTCAAAGAGAAAGCATCAAACCTCAAGTTTGAGTATTTCAAGCCTATTTTTCATCCAATATTCATTTGCTTTCAAGAACACTTTTGTACTCAATTGTATTTATCCTTGAGTGTTCTTTTCTTTGTTCTAGAATTGTGCAAACATCTTACCTTGTGAGGTTTTCTTGTAAGTTTGCAAATTTGTAATCTTCTCTTTGGGAAAAAGAGTGTTCTCAAGAGTTGGGGTATACTCTTGAGGGATTTTGTAAGGTTATCTCTTTGGCCTCAAAAGAAAGAACAAATTAGTGAATTTGTTGGAAAATCCTTAGTGTGGATAGCTAAGGTAGTGGACGTAGACTTTGTTTGAGAAAGTCGAACCACTGTAAATCGCTGTGCAATTACTTTAAATTTTCTGCAAAAGCTTCCACGAAATTTTTAATTGCCAATTCACCCCTCTCTTGGTCGATTCTGTAGATCGATTAACTCAACAATTGGTATTAGAGCCTCACTCATTTGAAGGTTTAATCACATCTTGAGTCGATTCGGGAAGAGTTACATCGATTACCAAGTCATCAATGGCCTCCACTTCAAATTACGACTCCGGTCTTGATTCGATACCCGTCAACAAGCCTCCTTTCTTCAATGGAGTTAATTACGCCTATTGGAAGAATAGAATGATGTACTTCATTCAAGCAAGTGACATGGGAGCATGGAATGCCGTAGAAGAAGGATACATCAAGCCTATCACTCATCCAAGGTTGTGGAGTGAAGGAGAGACTAGAATGTTCCAGCTCAACTCCAAAGCCATCCATATTATTTTTTGTGCTCTTGGACCAGATGAATACGGAAGAGTTTCATCGTGTACAACCGCCAAAGAAATATGGGACAAGCTTCAAGTCACACATGAAGGTACATATGAGGTAAAGAAATCAAAAATTAGTATTCTAACGCATAGCTATGAAAATTTCAGGATGAAACCAAATGAAGACATCAAAGCTATGACAGATAGATTTTCAACGATTGTCAATGGTCTCAAATCATATGGAGAGATCATCTCAAATGAAAAGCTTGTGAGGAAGTTAGTCTACTCCCTCCCAAAATCATGGCAATCAAAGAAGACGGCAATCATCGAGTCTAAGGACCTATCGTCCTTAACTCTTGAAGAACTTATCGGTTCACTCCTCACTCATGAGATGATACTCGAAGATGAGGTGAACCTTGATAAAGTTGAAGAGACACCAAAGGAAAAGGAGAAGAAGAAAAATATTGGAGTTGCTCTCAAATCCACAAAAGATGAGAGTGATTCTAATAATGATGATGATGACGAGGAAATGGCATTGTTTGCCAAACGGTTCAAAAAAAATGATTAGACCTTACCAAGGAAGAAAATTCAAACGAAACGAATGCCTCAAAAATGAACCAAAAGAGAAGGACCCGATCATTTGCTATGAATGCAAAAAACCAGGACATGTCAAATATGATTGCCCACAATTGAAAAGAAAGGGTCAATCAAAGAATAAGCACAAGGCTCATGTGGCTACATGGAGCGATGAAGAAGGTTCCAATGAAGAGGAACAATAAGTAGCAAACTTGTGCTTGATGGCATTCGGGGAAGATTCTAAGGTAACCTCTAACTCATCCGAGTTTGATGATTTATCTTATGATGAGTTATTTGAGGAGTACAATGGGTTGGCTTCGGATTATGAGAAATTGTTTTTAAAATATAAAAATGATGTTTCAAAATTGAAAAATGAAAACAAACTCATATCCAAAACCAACAACGATCTTGAAAGTAAATCAAAGATTTGCAAATCTAGAAGAGTTTCAAAGAAAAGAGATTTGCAAAATTTAAAAGAAATGTGATCATCAAAAAAATTGATGATCTTAAAACTTCTTTGACAAAGTTGGAACAAAACATTTTGAAAAAGGTGGAAATTCAAAATCCAACTTGTTAGAAAAAGTTTTAGAAACTACAATCATAGAGGTCCCCAAAGAACCTCTAATGGAAAATCATTAGAAGTATGTGGGTTCCTAAAGAACTCATTACTACTAAAGATAAAAATATCCTACAAATGGATACCTAAGGGGACTAGGATTTTGGAAACTAATGAATATGGACCCAAAAGAATTTGGGTACCAAAAATC